CCTTGGAAAAGACCTTGATGTTGGGAAAGTGTGAAGGCAAGAGGAGAAGGGGACAACAGAGGATGAGATGGTTGGACAGTGTCATTGAAGCAACCACCAACATGAATTTGACACAACTCCAGGAGGCAGTGGAAGATAGGAGGGCCTGGCGTGCTCTGGTCCATGGGGTCACAAAGAGTCGGACACGACTAAACAATGATGAATTCTCATCTGCATTAGGATAATATATGTGAAGTGCTAAATGTAATTCTAGCTAGAGAATGTGGAAGAGAGAAGAGGAGGAAAGAAAGCCAGGATGAATATTTACTAATGCCATTGCAGGTAGCTGGAATATCAGAAACTTTCCAGCCTATTTTATTTTGATAAGGGTGTGTAGTAAAGCGTGTGCTCAGATCTCTTCTGGTGAAATCAACTGGAATTTCAACCATTTAATCTAGTTGGTGACTAAATTGTTATGGCAATCTTAGATCTTAGAGGCTTTGTTGTTGTTACTGTTATGGTAGACATAGAAAATCACAACTCCAATATTGTAAGTAGTCTTCCTGAATGCTGTTCAGTGCAACAATATAAAAATTTTAAAGAAAAATATGAAGGACTGGGAATTTCTAACAAAAAGTTAGGTTGTGAGTATTGTGCAAAATATGATTTTATAAAAGAGAAAAGTGTTCATGCATCAGAAGAGTGGAAAGGTTTTCAGATTGCGGCATCAGGGGAAAACAGTGGTACAATGAGCTCTAAGGAAAAAAATGAAATATAAAAAATCTTCCTTTAAACATAATCTAGTTGTCTGCACCTCTTTTACTGTTCTTATTGCAGTATTTAATGCGTGAATTATTAAACTACCTTTCGGTATATCTTTTGGTATACTGTACTTAAAATAGTCATTAGGACATAGAACCTGTGGCGATCTACTTTGTTGCCTCTGTTTATTTTGGCCCTCACAAGAGATCACGCCCTTTCCTTTCACGCTGCCACCAGGTATTTTCCTAATACCAATTATATTATACTTGTGTGCTGCCAACACTAAGGGTTATTGAACTGAGGACAGAGGTCGAATTAACAAAGATTCTTTTATTGATAAGTAAATCATAAAGGTAAATCAAGTAGGAACTGTATCAGGTCTTAACATGGATTTGATTATGTATGCAATCACTTTTATTTCAATCTACTATGTACTTGTAATCAATATCTCTCTTATAGTATGTGCAACTTCATTCCTGCTTGTTCAGTTTCGTTTATCTCAATTCCCTCTCCTAAGACTCTCAGCTATCTTGTTTATCTCAATTCCCTCTCCTAACATTCTCAGCTCAAATCCCTAACTCTCCTCTTCTTACTGCTAAAACCCTAACTCTCTTTCCACATCTCCAGCCGTCTCTCTCTAACTCCCTAACTGTCTCTCTGACTCTGCCCTTCCTGCCCTGTCTCTAACTCCCTGTCTCTCTGACTCTGCCCTTCCTGCCCTGTCCTTGGCTACTCCCCCTTGAGCTTCTGTGATGGACAGGCAGGAATGACGTCACCCTTTTGCATTCTGCTACAGAACCTGTTGTTAATTTATTTGAATCCCACCACTGTTTGTTTCCCACCCCTCCCCAGTATCTGCTCTTGTTTGTGAAAAGCCCAGGACTAGGGCTGGAAAGGGCACTTTCCCTGCAGATGAAGCTCCTGTAAATTCCTGCCAGAAGCTGCCTCAAAGCCCTGTAGTTCAGCCTGTGGAGCCTGTCGATGCTGCAGCCATGGCTTTGGATTCCCTCCAGCTAGAAGACAACCTTGTGGAAGAGGGAGAGACGGCTTCAAGCTCGCTCTCTCCTGACTCCAGTTCCGTGGGCGAGGAAGCTCAGTCCAAGGTTGGGGGCTCCTCTGAAGAGTCAGCAGAGGACATCCAGAGAGAAGGCATGTCAAGAGAGAGCTCCTCTGGTGAAGTGGAGTCTCATGAAAAAGAAGCAGAAGTAAGTGCCATACATTCCTCTCTAAGGAAGTGACATTGTTGCAGGCGATTCGGTGGCATGTTTGAAAGTCTGCATTCCGTCTTGCTTTCCCCCTGCATCCCCCTGCATTCAGTGCTCCATGGTGGCTTCATGTTACAGAACAGGGGTGAGGAACCTGTGCCCTTCAAATGTGGTTGAATTCCAGCTCTCGTAAGTCTTGGTCAGTGTGGGCCATGGTCAGAATTGTCAACAGCATCTGGAAGACCAGGTTCAGCACACCTGGTATAGGGGAAGATTTACAGGCTGTTTAGAAAGCTGACCCTCTGTTTCCTTCCTTTCTTCTTCCTTCCTTTCTTCTTCCTTCCTTCCTTCCTTCCTTTCTTTCTTTCTTTCTTTCTTTCTTTCTTTTTCTTTCTTTCTATCCATCATGTTCTTCCTTCCTTCTTTCCTTCCTTCCTTTCTTTTTTTTGAGGCGCCCATGATTACAGGAAACACCAGAACAATTCTGAAAAAACAATGCTCTAAATCCACAATCTCGGAGAGGAGGAGTAAAATCCACCCCCTAATCTTCAGGGCTGGATTTGACTTTTCTGCTGATTTTTTAATTTTAATTTTTCCCACTGGTCCATCTTCCTTCTTATTCCCCACACCTTAGAAGCTTTTAAAAAATCATTTTATTTGAAAGAAAAGCTAAAGGTAATAACCCTTCTGTTTGGGTGGGCATTTGGGAACTGTGTAGGTACCAAGGAAGGAAACTTAAATAGGAGATGTACATTTTCACCATTTTAAAATGTGTTTTAAAACTGTGTTACATTGTTTTTTATTCATCAATGTTAAGACAATAATATGTTCAACTCTGTTTATAATCCTGTAATTTATCAGCCATTTTTAAGCTATATCTTTTAAACTTTTAACTAAATGTTATGTAGGCCCTCTTGAGTCCCTTTATTTGTGCAACCTCCAGAGATATCAAATGTATTATCTGAGGTTTGTACACGCTCATCCCTCGGTTTTTGAGGGCTGTCTCACTCCTGAAACCCCCTCCCATACTTTTTAATTATAAAAATTGGGTTTTTTAACTGAATTTTTTTTAAATTAAGGGGACTGTTGGTGGGGCAGGGTTACCTGGGAGGCCTAAAAATGTAACAAAATTATTTCCTGTGCCTCCTAGCATAAAGCATAAAGCAATATTTTGATGTTTGCATAATGTTTTCATAAAGCAACATTTTGAACCATTTTTTTAAAATTCTAAGAGGTAAATTAGGGGAGCTTCCCTATTTATTTGGAGGAACAGTGGGTTATGAAAATGAAAACAGTGGAAGGGAAAGGTCCATTTAGAGTGAAGCGCTGCCTCCTTTGGGGCTCAGTCTGTCATGCCCACCTCTTTTCATACAAGTTTTTATGCCAATTGAACTCCCCTTCTGAAAGTGCCAGTTGTTAATGCTGCTCAGTTGACTGTGTCAGGAAAATATATTTTCATGTTGTTTCACCCATGCTTTAGAATTTCTCCTCTGGGGTTCCTGTAAAGATATGATATCTCTAGTGCAATTCAGAAGGGGATTAATGTAGAATTATAACAGTGGGCCTTTGGACCTTAGTAAACTACTGTTCCATTATTTATGTGTTGCAAAATCATGTACTAATGTGCAGGAGATAAAATTGTTTGGTGGGCTTTTGGTGTTGCTGATTTTTGTTTGTTTTTGTCATTTAAATGTTTCTCAGTATTTGGTTGTTAGATTATATGTTTGATATAGACATGGGCTATCTGTATTCGTATCCCTGGGGACACGAATACAAATCACGGCACCAGAGGTGCCACAGAGGCCCATCCCCTCCCTCCAGAGCCAGCTGGCCCACTCATCGGTCACTTTGAAGTTCTGGAGTCCTTTGTTGTCGTCATCACGCTAAGCTGGGAAGCAGCCCAGCCGGTGCTTCCCCAACACTCTGCACAGCCAACACCCCAAAGTCTCCCCGCTCAGCGGATGAACTGGGCAGGGTGGTGGGGAAGCACTGGCCAGGCTCCTTCCTGAATTGGCATAATGACAAAGGACCCACCACTGTGCGCCGGCCAGTGAGTGGATTAGCCAGTTCTGGAGGGAAGGAATGGGCCTCTGTGGCAGCTGTGGGGCCACGATTCATATCCCCAGAGATGCGAATACTAATAGTCCATGTCTAGTGTTTAATGCTTGTTTGAAGTCTGATGGTATATTGTTCTGGGTGTCTTCAGAGAGAAGAATGGCATGTAAATCAGTATAGTAAATGATGATAATAATAAAAAGACTGAGGTACCAGCACATGAGAGCTTCTTTTAAACAAGGGCTGCTCAAAATAGCACAGTAGGACCCCTTTATGCATGGGATCAATATCCACTGATTCACTTATCCATGGTCTGAAAATATTAAAAATATTAAAAGAAAAAAAAATCCCAGAAATATATATTTTTAAAGAGGAAGGGAACTAGAGACCATACTGTGTATAGTGTTTTCTATAATCTGCGCTCTTCGTGGCCTCTGTGAATGCACACAAATGGGTTAAGACTGCGCCTGCACAGGATTCCTTGGAATATTCTGGAGCTTAAAACATGTGATTAGTAGTACGTTTCCCTGTGGTGACCATGCTCCGCCTGCCCGTAATACCTCCGTTCCTTTTTGCCGCTGCTGCGATCAGACTCTTTCATGGCTAAAGCTGGGGTTTTTGTTTTGTTTTGTTTTTGTTATCTTGGTGTTGATTCTGGTCTGGCTTATTGATTATCCGTCTATATCTCTGGAGAATTTTGACCTTGGACTGACTACGGTATACAGTTATCGGACTTTGGATTAGCTGTTTATCTTTCTCGGCTATTTTGACCTCCGTACAGTTATCGGACTTTGGATTAGCTGTTGTTTATCTTTCTCGGCTATTTTGACCTCCAGATTGCCTACCGATTCTGTTTTTGGATTACGGACTTTGTTGTAATTATTTGGCTTCTGATTTTTAGCTTTGATATTGGACATTCACATTTTCCCATAAGCCTTCCTTTCCTTTTCCCCCTTCCACCCCCTCCCCCTTTCCGACAAATTTTATGGCCTCGTCAGGCCCATTTAAACAGTGTACATCATGTGCCAACAAGATCTCCTTCACGGACAGCGACAACTGCTGTTTATTTTGTTTGGGAGTGAGACACCAAATTCACTCATGTCAGAGTGCAAGAAGTTAACCAAACCGGCTCTTAAGCTCCACTTGCAGAGGCTTCAGTCATATCTGTGGGAAAAATCACTTACACCTTCGAGCCCAGCAACCATGGAGCCAGCCTCGGTTCCTTCTCCTTGTCATGAGCCCGCTTCTTCTTCACCCTGCTACCCCATCTCCGAGGTCTTCTTCTAAATCATCTAATCAGAAGAAGTCTCTGGCATTGACAGCAATGTTGAAGTTACCATCTGTAGCAGATCATAAGAAAAAGAAAGTGGCCAGTAAAGAGAAGAAGGATAAACAATCTTCCAAGTCTACTCAACTTCGAGAACTTCCTCCGGTTCGAGTTTCCCTTCCATCTCACATACTTGAGGAATCATCTCGAGAGCTGCCAGATCCGGACTCCCTTTCTGAAGGGATTGACTTGGTACCACCACCACAGGCTCAGGCGTCGGTTTTGATACCGAACCTGTCTCTTAGCCATGGCCGTTTTGAGGCTGATGTCATCTCCAGACCGGCCTCGGCCCATTCGAGCCCTATGTCTATTGGGCGGGCAACAGTAATTCGGCTATCGAACTCGGAGGTGTCACCACAACAGTCTCCTCCACGTAAACGAACAGCCAAATGTTGGCACATTTCTCCAGTCCGACAGTATCCTCAACATCGAGAGGTTGTGGTTCTTCCTTGTCCCTTTCAACGTTGGCCATTTTCGGATTATGAGGAGGCTTTGTATGTGAAAGTTGAGCGAAGGGGTGATCGCCATTGGTACCATGAGGATGACTTTGACCTCAATCCCTATTATGATGCTGGTGATTATGTGAGGCCCAAAAGAGTGTGTTACGTCTATGCCTCTTCTTCCTCCCCATCGCCCTCTCCTCCTCGGCATCGACATTGAGCTTATTATCAGCTCGACCCTCCGTCATCGAAGTCAGCTGCTAAACACCACTCATCGCACCAAGACATTCCTTAGCAAGCGATCCACATGTCAGAGAGGTCTCAGGCCCCTTCGGTACCATCATCCTCCATATCAAAGCCAAGGACATCCTACACTCGGTCTACTCATCAAGCTTCATTCTCACAAATGTCTCATCTGCCTAAAACAGACGCTTCAACATTGACCTTTCGAGCTCCAGCCCATGTTTCAAGAGGTCATTGTCTTGCGCCTTCTCCACCTCTTTCTATTGCGAGGGGCTTGTCCGTATCGTCTTGTTTCAAAACACCTCTTTATGAGACTGGAGGCAAGAAACCAGCTGTTCTTGCAGGAGTGCTGTCTCGTCCCCTCTCTACAGAGAAAGGAGTACAAACTTCACCTATGGCCTGTTCCCAAAAGACCGCGGCTACAGAAACAGACCCTGTGCCTGTGGAGAGGGAGTTACAAAGGTTGATGGTTGAAGAGAGCAGGAAAGGATAGAAAGCTCCAGGTAGAAATAGAGGCAGGGTTTACAGATATAAAAGGGGAAGAATGAGAACTGCCTGCAGGCTGGGAATGGATTTGGATGCAGGACCCATGGATTGGGAAATGGGAGAGGCTCCGGATCCCCAAGGAAGAGGCCCATTATAGGAAAAGAAGGGAGGTAACCCTGATACCATCATATTGGGGTGAAACAGAGGCGAAAGAGTGGAGAAGGAGATTAAGGGAAGAGAAAGAGAAGGTAGAGAGGGAAAGACAAGAGAGAATAGAATGGAGGCTGTGGGAGTCCCAGAAGAGGGGGCACTCACCGGATCATGGCAGACCTTTGAGACCACCTGGGAACCCACCTGGATGGAACCAAGGGAGGAAGGCACCATACCCTTATTGGAGGGAGAACCCGGACAGATACTGAATCCCAGGGTGACCGAGGATTGGCCAGGACCATGGAATTCTGTTGGGGGTAATCCCTTTAAAGAAGACACTTGGAAAACCCTCACTGACCAGTTGTTAGAAGGGGACAAAAGTTGGAACGTTTTCGCTGCCACTGGTTTCCTGTTGAACACTACAATAAATGTTACTCCAGTTACCAAACCTTGTAAGTCTGCTGATTTGTTCGGGGCAAAGCAACAGCTAGATAGTGAACCCTCACAGACTTACCTTCAGAAGCTTCAGGTGAATCTCCCTCAAATCTACCAGCTCCTGAGTCAGATGCTGCTGATCTCCATCCTCCTTCTCTATCTGATGACTTTACCTTGTATTCGCAGATGGATCTGCCCATGGCTAAATCTTTGGAGCTTGACATAGAGCAACTCCCTCCTCCCAAGTAAGACCTTGTCTTTGATGACATTAACCAAGATAAGCCCCCCCCCCATTAAGTTTGGCTTTCATTCCAGCGATGCTGTTCCTCATAAAAGAATCGTGGAGTCAACCGTCCACGTCTCTTCAGATTCCTGGACGTGTGGAAAATCACTATAGAACACATGGTAATAACACTGCTTTCCTCACCAAACATCCTGCACCTAATTCCATCATAGTGCAATCCAATCAGTCTTAGGCTGGAAACCGGTCAAAAGTTACACCTACTAACAGGGAAGGATGGAAGCTGGATGTTCTGGGATGTAGACTTTATTCTCTGGCCTCATTTGTCATGAGGGTGTCAGATTATCAGGCAGCTATGGGGGCTTATCAGAGACAGTTATGGAGCAAGGTTTTGCTAATTCTCCAGGCTGCTCAAGAGGAGACTAAGGCCACTGTCCTTAATACTCACCTAGAGGCAACGTTGGTGAAACAACAGCGCTTAGCATCCCGCCACACGGCTGATGCTGCGTCTAAGGCCATGACATCACCGATTGTGCTCAGGAGGCATGCTTGGCTGCATTCCGTAGGGATTACAGATGATGCGAGGTCCCGCATTAAGGACCCTCCATTTGATGGACTTGGCCTGTTTAATGAAAAGACAGATGAGGTGATGGAGAACTTACATAAGATCAGGAAGACAGCTCGTTCTTATTCTGTCCAACAACTACTATGCCAAAGGTATCAGTGGCGCAGACCCTTCAATACCCACCATTCATATCAACAACCCTCCCATCAGGCCTGCTGTTTTTACAGACCTGCTGAAGAAAGATCCAACCCTCCCCTGGCTTCTTCTACTACTGCTGCTTTTAGATCACAGGTTCTTATACAGCGTCGCCAAACCTTCCGTTGTCCTGCAAAGAAAGGTAAACAGTATATTTGACTGTCCTATCCTGTTCTGATCCATCCACCCGACCTTTCCCATCATCTCCAGCTAGCCCCCTTCTTTGACAAGTGGTCTGTTATCACCAAAGGCTTGCCATCATACCTTCTGGTTACCTCTTGGAGTTCATGGATCTTCCTCCTATTGGCCAACTGAAACTCACAACTTACGCACCTGCTCTAGAGGACGAGATATCTATTCTTCTACAGAAGCAGACTATCCAACACATTCTTTCTCAAGAGGTTATAGACAGTTTCTATTCCCACTATTTCACAGTTCCAAGAAGGATAGTGGTCTCCGGCTGATCCTAGACATCAGACTACTGAATACTTACCTCCATCCAAGAAGTTTTCGTATGGTCACCCTGGATTCTGTCATCCCTCCTCTTTGTCCAGACGATTGGTTCATTGTTATAGACCTGTTTCATATTTCTACCCATCAGCTTCACCGCATGTATCTCCGCTTCTACTTCATGGATACGGCCTATTAGTTCTGCGCTCTCCCATTTGGGCTTTCCACCGTCCCAAGAACTTTCACGAAATGCATGTCTCCTGTGGTAGCGTACCTTCGTCTACACAACATCACGGTCTTTCCATATACTGTATAGATAACTGGTTGATTGTGACTGCTTTTTCCTGCAAGGTTTTGCAAGATACCAACTTTGTTCTTCAGATGCTGGCAGACCTTGGCCTGCGGGTCAGCTTTGCAAAATCTCATCTCCAGCCGTCTCAGGTCATAGACTACATCAGTGCGTGTCTAGACTCGGTCAATGCGAGAGTCTTCCTTCCACCCGAACAAATTCAGAAATTGTGCCAAGCGATTTACCTTTCCACCCCTATGCCAGAGTCTCTGCCCACCATACACAACATCTTCTAGGTCCCATGGCCTCAACCACATCTGCTCTTCCGCATGCATGACTGAAAATGTGTTCTCCGCAGACTTGGTACCTATTTCAATTCGATCCTTCGATGGACAGACTACCAAGCGCCTGTGTGTAACACCAGAGCTCATGAATGGACATTTGTACCTCACCTGCTCATGGGCTGCCCCTTTCGGCCTATTAAACTGACGGTCCAAGTTACAACGAACGCCACTCCAACAGGTTTGGGTGCACACTGCGGTCTTCACAAGATTCATGCCCTGTGGTCCAAGTAAGAGAAACTTTTTCACATAAACCATTTGGAGATGCTGGCAGTCATCAAGGCATTGCATGCCTTCCACCAGATAATAGCAGGTTGAGGAGTTCAGGTGGTTACAGACACTATGACCATGTACTATATCAACAAGTAGGGAGGTACCCATTTGCTGTCACTTCTGTACTTGGCAATTCATCTTTGGGAATGGTGTTACGACCATCATGTTTTTCCAATCACCATTCATGTGTCAACAGAGGACAACAACATTGCCGACCGTTTGAGTCGCATGAACACTCAGACTCACGAATGGGAGCTTGACGATTCAGTTTTTTTTCTATGATCTGTGATCAATGGGGAACTCCAGCCATCAACATGTTCGCAACCCATTACAACACCAAGTGTAACATGTTCTGCTCTCGAGGAGGGAGAGGCAAAGCCTCGCTGAGAGATGCCTTCATGATAGACTGGGAAAATTGTCTTCTTTATCTGTTCCCCCCCATTCCACTGATTCAGCGGACACTGGTCAGGGCTCATCAGCTATGCTCCAGTGCCATTCTAGTGGCCCCACGGTGACCTCAACAACCCTGGTTTCCAACACTCAGGACCATGGCAGCTGAGTTTCTCAGACTAACTCCCCCTCCACATCTTCCGATACAAGACGCAGGGAGGGTCTGCCATCCAGATCTAGAATCACTCCACCTTACTGCTTGGAGGATTCTCCCAATACAGCAGAGGTTTTGGACAAACTTAGAAAACCTTCCACCAAGCTATTACATTCCTACAAATGGAATAATTTCTCTAAATTTGCTGATTCTAGAGGTCTGTCTCCTCTTCCTCTGTCCTTGGATATTCTTCTCGTCTTTCTGCATTACCTATTTGATCAGGGCTTAGACCTTTCTACACTTAATGTTTATATAACTGCTATTGCTTCTTACCAACCTGCAGGTTCAGAAGCTTCTTGTTTGTTTTCAAACCCTACCCTGAAGATGTTTTTAAAGGGCTTATGTAACATCCGACCACCTGTCCCATCCCCATTGCCTCAGTGGTCTTTGCAAGTCATGCTGCGAGCTCTTACTTATCCTCTGTTTGAGCCAATGGCTTCTTCAGACCTTCAACTCCTCTCCTTCAAGACTCTGTTCCTGGTAGCAATAACTTCTGCATGGGAGTGAGTGAATTGGCTGCCCTTCGGGCCAATGCCCCTTATCTACAGTTCCACCCAGACAAGATAATTTTGTATTCTGATATCTCTTTCCTTCCCAAAATTGTATCAAGTTTTCACATTAATCAGCCTTTGATTCTCCTGACGTTATTCCCTAATCCTTCTTCAGATGTTGAGCGCATGCTCCATTCCTTGGATGTTCGTCATGCTTTAGCGTTTTACATGTCCGGGACTAAGGACTTCCACAATTCCTCTAGATTATTTGTCTGCTTCCATGGCCCACGTAAAGGCTCTCCTGCCTCCTCGCAGACGATTTCTAGATGGATCGTGTCTGCTGTTACATTGGCCTATGAAGTGGCTGGCAAAGCTCCACCAGAGGCATTAAAGGCACACTCTATGAGAGCTATAGCTGCTTCAACTGCCTTGTTGCATGGAGTTGATGTTTCAGACATCTGCAGAGCAGCCACCTGGTCCACACCATCCACCTTTGTGACGCATTACTGCCTGGACCCCAGGGCCAAGAAGGAAGCAAGTTTTGGAAGGGCTGTGCTGACTTCATTATTGGCGTAACAGCCCTCCTTCCAGTAAGTGAGCTTGCTAGTCACCCAATTGTGTGCATTCACAGAGGCCACAAAGAAGGTTACTTACCTGTAACCATGGTTCTTCGAATGGTCTCAGGGTTGCCTCTCCTTTTGAGAATGATAGAGCCGCTCAGAGTGGTATAGATTTATCAGATGGGCGGGATATAAATCAAATAAATAAATAAATAAATAGATCTGTGAGCTTGTCGGTGGAATAAAACAGACCTATCTTAGATTGCCCTGACACTTCTGGGAAAGTGTAAACTCTGCCTCTGTTCTCTCTTTTCTTGCATCTTATCTCAACCAGGGGAGCCCGCTCCAACTCCCCGCTACAGCAACTGAGAGTGGTCTACTAGATGAAGCCACAGGTGGTTATACAATCACCTGTGAGGTGCGTGAAGGAGATCTGACAGACACAGTAAGTATTGGGTAGGTGGGTATAGAGATATGGAAGGGAAGTCCTTGAGCTTGGACCTCTGTGGTCAGATTTCTTGGACTTACCCAAGGATGGGTTAGACCTACTACTGTCTCTTTCTAGGGAATGTTTTATGCTGTGACTCCCCTACTATGGTGTCCCCACCTCAGCTCAGTGCTGCCGGTGCCTCCTGGGGGTTTGAATGTGCTGGAGCCCTGTGCAGAGTGTGGCAGCATGGCTGAGAACTGGGTCTGCCTGGTTTGCTATAAGGTAAGAAGACAGTGTGGTTGTCCAGAAATATAGCATTGTTGCATCCAGGAGATGCAGGTTTTGGATTGCTCACTGGATATCAGCTAATGAATGAAGGGGTGGGGAAATGTATGGCTTGCGAAATATTTTGGCTTAGAACACACATCTCTTGTCTGAACAATGTCTGAAGAGCAGTGAGTAAGCTATCCACACTTGTGCTTTTGAGGCACCAGCAATAGATGGCTTCAAGAGATGGTAGGATTGTGGAGTTTGGGGTGAGCTTTATTACTGCATTTTTAAATTTATAATGCCCTTCCTTTTTGCTCCTCCTCCACTTTATCATCACAAAAACTCTGTGAAGTAGATTTCACTGAGGGACAGTGACTAGGCTTCAGATATCACTGTGGCTTTGAGCTCGTCCCAGTCCTAGTTCAACACCCTATTGTTACATCACACCAGCTCTTTGTACTCCCATGAACGTTTCCTTTGAAAGAAGTTGAAGGCTTCTGATCCTAGCTCCAAGGATTCCTGATCTGGAACCAGACTGAACCATCCTTAAAAGAGACCCATTGATATCCAGGAGAATTAACTTAGTCATGAGACACTTATCCCATTGATTTCACAGAGTCTACTCTAAGTATGTCTGGATTCAAGCCACTGTACCCATGGCTTGCAAGGCAAACCAATTTCCCTCCAGCCAGTATTGCTGCAAACTTTCAGGGCAGGGTAGGAATGCATTGCCTTGTATTTCCTCTGTGATCATCTAACTTCCTTGATTCCTCTGAAGTTTTTGCCACCAGAGTGCTGATTTGGGTTTGCTCTCCCTTTGGAGTGGGATGCAGGGGATGGGCGGGGGTTATGTGTAAAGAAACTGAGCTTGAAATGACTTTCTGGATCCTTTTTTCAGACAAATATCTGGTGCATTCCCAAGCCTCCCCTCCCCACTCTGAACTATTTTTCATGTCTTCATCTAAGCTCACTTGTTTTTCTCTGTTCAGGTCTGCTGTGGCCGCTACATAAATCAGCACATGGTTGCGCACAACTCAGAATCTGGGCACCCTCTGGTGCTCAGTTTTGCGGACCTCTCTGCCTGGTGCTATGAATGCCAAGCTTATGTCCACCACCCAGTAAGTTGTATAATGGTTTGGTGCTTTTTCTCCTGCCAGCCCTTTTTCAAACTCTGTATATTGAAACAGCAGAATGTGTCTTTAAAGATTACCGTATTTTTCCGTGTAAAAGATGCTACTTTTTCCTAAAATCATTACACTAAAAATTGAGGGGCATCTTATACTCCGAAATAAGCCAAGGAGAGAACAAAATGGCCCATAACTTGCCTCTGTAAACAGGCTTCCTTCAGTCACGAAGTTTAGCTTCCTACAGTCACAAGCCTTATGGAACTGATGTCAGCTGATACTGAACACCAATTGGAACACACCTCGTTGAAGGTGGAGCCTATAGGCACAGATGTAACAGGGACTCGTAATGTCTGAGTGTTCTGAGCCCAGAGACTGAATACTCAAAGCTAAGTTAAGACTTCTTAATTTTGGGTTAGAAAAGTGGGGAGTGTGTTATACATGAGAGTGTCTTATACAGAGAAAAATACAGCATGTATTTATGACTTATTATTTATGTTTGTATTTTAGCTTTCCTCCATTGGATTCAAAGTGACATACATGACTCTCTTTCTCTCTTCTTTATACACATACACACTCTGGCGGCCTTTAAATATGTCAAACAATAAATTATAATGTGGCCATCATGGAATAGACATGGACTTAGGTGAGGGAGGAGCTGCGTATAATACTTTGGGGAACCCACCTCAGTGTTCTGAGAAATGTCAGTACTAAAGGATTCCAGTTGCAGTGTGCTTTAATCAGCACATCTTGTTTTCTGTTGAAGTTTGCCATTTGGGTTGTGACCATTGTCTGACAATTTACATGGCTGAGGCACAATAGCAGGCAAAGCCCTCCTCCCATCTTCATGCTTGGCCATCCATGTGACAGCCTTCAAACAGGAACAGGAAATGAGAGTTGCATGTCACTTTAATCTTTTTTTGAGATGAACATTATTAAAGATGAAAGTATGTGTGTGGGTGGGTGGAATGTTCCATTAGTATTAAAAGATCATTTGTTGATAAGGCAGTATTGCTTTTCCATTAACAGAGACTCTAGAGGCAGGGGAGGTTCTGTCCCATTATGGTAATAATGATATTACAGATTCTTCCCTTTTGGATAGGAGAGATTATTAAACTACCTTTGCTAGTAGAAATCCACTTCAAAGTTTATGCCTTGTGTTGAAATGTGCCACTACAAAGAGGGGAAGAAAGGGCAAAGAACTGCACAACAGAAATCTGCTATTTGCTCTCTTCCTCTGCCTGGCAACAGGGATATAAAGAAAAGTTGCCATGTTCTTTCCTTGCATCAATCCCCTTGTCTCAGTTTGACAAGACTGCATGATGAACTTTCAGGCTCTCTAATTTCCTCACCTACAGGCAAGAAGACAATGAGCACTGTTCTTTTCCCATCAGTGTCTCTGTAATTAGAGCAAATTGTCTCAGCACAAAGCAAGTCTTCTTTCCCTTGACACACACAAGGACAAAACTACTGGCAGGTAGTTTTAAAAAAGAGGACAGCTGTCTTCTGATGCTTAAAATCATTAAGAGCCCAGATAGTAAAACAGCTTTAATCATTTAGCACCATTCACATTGATGTATTATTTACTGAGATTCAAGCAGTTTGTTTAAATCTTGTTGGGAGCTTCACTAACACCTTCCCCTCTCAGAGGGTAAGGTGAATAACAGCACAGATCCTCAACCTTGCAAAAAAAGCTTTTATGCATGGCACCAAAGAAAATTTCAAGATAATTGTCATGGTTGTGAATGAGTAGGGACCAGGAAATTATTACATTTCACTTGAGGGTGGGTGGGTGAGCACTATCTGCCCCCGAACTACAATAGAAGTATAGGACTCTATGATACAGACCGTTAGAAGTTTCTAATGGGGAAATGTGGCCCTCAGACCAAATAGGTTTTCTTATCTTTGAAGTATTTCTACTGAAAAACAAATAAAGGCAAACCCAATAGTTAATAGGGAGCAAAGGGCATAGCTTAGGATCATGGTAAAACAGCATTGTTTGAGCTCCCATCTTTCCATGAGTCCTGCACTCTAACCAATGCGTAACTCTGCTTTTCCACTTCCATCTTGCTAGTGTTTGCTGCTCCTTCTGCTATATTAGTCAAACAAATCAGAAGGCAGATGATAGGCAGTGGTGTTCTGCGTTTTGATTATGCATTTTGATTAAGAATGGGAATTTGATGTGGCATGTGTTTCTCTGTTTCTCTTCAGACTCTCTTTGAAGCCAAGAGCCTGGCTCATAAGATGATGTTCGGAGTGGACATGGCTGTACCTTCCTAACGTGATTGCTTTGTAGATGGAGGGGTTAAAATGAATGCAGCACAATCTAGTATCATTTGACCTCAAAGGAATTGAACTTGATGCTTAAAGGGCTCTTGATGTGCCAAAAATTAATGATCAGCAATCATCAATGCAATACCACCAGCAGCCATAAATCAAACACCAGCAACCTCACTGCTTCCACTAGGACAAAGAACATTGTTTTCTCATGCATTCCATAATGGGCACACAACCAAACCCGGTGGCACTTTCAGGGCAGGGTGCTTTCTTCAGTGCTGAGGAAGTACTAGTGCCATGTTTTGTGGATAAATGCTTATATCTGCTCAAATGCCTAGTGTCTGAATATATACAGCAGTTTTCTTTCATGCCCCCAGATAATTTCACCAAATCACCACCCTCTATGTTGCAGGGGTGTCATGCTTAGCTGGGGATGGGTAGGAGACCTGTATTGAATTTTTAAAGAGGGGAGGATATTTCCCTCTTGTTGTTCCTTTCCATCCAACATAAATGAATAATGTTTCGCAACTAACTGAGATGAGTGCATGTTTTGTATAGGTAATCCCTTAGCTACAAAAGTTTCAGAGCTGGAAGGCCTTGAATACAGACTCTCTTTCCAGGAGTCCAAAGTCCTCAAACCTTGGGGGCTTGCCTAATTATATGCATATTATATATTGGATGGTTGGTTTGTTTGTTTTTTCCTGTATGTAGTAGGCAATGGACAGAATTCTTGGGAGAAGGAGTGGTGGGATCTAGACGGTCGTAGTCCCCTCATTCTGACCTTGACAAGGACTTGGAATCATGAATCTGAGGGCAAATTCCCACATTTCCCACATATATTGGAGGTAGAGGAACATTGGTCAGGTTGGGTAAGGCTTCTCGGAACTGAAGTTCAAAATTTCAGAAGGCCAAAGATTCTCCACTCCTCTTGAATAGAGACTCAGAACTGTGCTTGTATGCTTCTCTATGAGCAAGTGAGTGAGTAAAGCAATTTGACTGAACCTGATATGGAGAACCACCTCTGCAGGTAGTGGCACTGATGAACACAGCCATTTAAAACAGCAACACCCATAAAAACAATAATGGAAGCTGCTTTGTAAGCACACTGTCCACTAAAGTCTTAGGGGGCCATGTATCTTGGCAAAGAGCAAAGAGCAAGCCTGACTCTTCCAAAGGGCAAGTGGGCGCCCTATCCTGGGAAATAATTGGGGAGAAAAGTTAACCCCTATGTATTCCCACAGAATTCTCTTTACTGGTTCCTGCATTGATTCAAGAAGAAGAAAGTCTTGGTGTTCTTAGATAAATGTCTTCGGCTAAAGCAACTGTTCCCAGACCACCACAGGTTTAATCTTTACCCAATTCTGTCTCGAGCCCAATAAAACAGCTCAAGGGAGAATGAGCAGGGGAAGGGGAAATGCCAAAATTTCCTAAGGGGTAAGAGAGGTAGATGAGGATGAGTTGAAAAGAGCCAATGGGAGAGGGTCCCAGCGTGAGTTGTATCTGCCCACTGGACGTGTCGTTTTGCCAGGGCCGGCCTTGGTAGTGTTTGGGTTGTGTGGCTGTTGTGGCTTAAACCTGTACCGTGGTATAAAAGTGGATCAGGGCAGTTGTTTCATTATAGCCCTTCCCCTCTCTTCAAAAAAAAAAAATTAAAAAATCATTTGCATATGTTTCTTTGCTTAATTTTATAATCTTTCTAATTATTCAAATAAAAGTGTTTTTGTGAATGGAGCTGGTATGTGAGAGTTTTTCAGACCTTAGAGAGTTGGATGGAGGGTGCTCAAATCACTTTGGACCATGTTAAGTTGGAAACGGAGGAATGGCTCAGTCACCAATCCTATAACCTTGCCCTCTTTATAAGCTCACCTGTTTTATGTGTTGATTGTTCTGCTGCCTGCTATATCCCTACTTCCTCAAGCTCCATAGATACGTTTACATGTATGAAGGCTTCATGTATTTGAAATCACTAGGAAAAACAGTGTCTTTTTGCCATAGGAAGTGGCTTCCTTTTGTGGGTCATGGAGGCCTGGAGTATCTGGTGGAGCTTGGGCTATCTGGCCAATGATGGCCTGCCTTCCCTTTCCTTTGGCTTCTGGAGCCCAAAATCACCAAGATGAGAGCCTCCTCGTCCCACAGATGGATGCAGCCTTCTTCCTCTCCCTTGTGCCTTCTGGCAGAGTTTGAAGTCCTTTGCATCAAGCTTTTACCAAGCTATGTGGTTGAGAGAAGAAAGGGAGTCCTGAGAACTCTTTTTTTTCTGTGTCTAGTTTTCTTGCAGAAGCTTTCTGATTGTATCCCAGTGGTATATCTAGTAGCACCTCACCTGTAGTAAACTCCCTTTCTGCCAGTGATCTTCACTCACATAGAACCTTGCAGGACCCTTCCAACTCATTTATTATTCTTTTGCGGTCATAGGTTTTAAGGTGCTTTCCATTATCTGGGGCAATGCCTGTGAACTGATGTGGAGGTAGTTTCCTCAACCTGATGGGAATCATGTTTGGGTTAGCTAAAAACATGATCCCCTGCTTCTCTAGTTGGCACAGAATGCTATTCAGTTTGATGGGGATTACTACTAGATAGCTACCATGTTTCCCTGAAAATAAGACCTGTGGAAGAGAACACTGTGCCCTGACCACCATCCAGCCCGACTTCTTTTGCACATGAACTGCAGAGGCACCATTTTGCTCCTCCCAGCCAGCAAAACGTCTTCGGCCGACCCTACGCAGAGATCTGCCGCCTCAGCGAACCAGCAGTAGATGCGGCAGTTTTGCCCCACAATAAATAGGCTGTGTCAGTTGGTCAATAATAAACCTGTTTATATATACAGTATAATAAATCTGCCGTCGCCTGAGGCGACATTACCCCAAGATCTTCCCTCCAGCTAGGAGAGAGAAAGAGTAATGTAATGGCGTTCCCGTTCTCTCATCCCGGGGAAGCGAATTTGAAGGGAAGGGGGAAAAAAACGACTCCTCCAGGATCCTCTTCCCGCCTCTCCTTGGTTCTCCCAGCCGAGGAATGATTTAGCCCCTGCAGCTGCTGAACCTCCGCAACGTTTGAGGCGGGGAGGCGGCGGTGGCGGCGGGCAAGCAGGTGCATCGAGCCGGGCAAAGTGAGCTTCGCGCTCCGTCCTCTGGCCACCGCGGGCGCCCGAGCGAGGCGCGGGAACAAGGGCGAGCCTTTCCAGCCTGGGCGCTGGGCCAAGGGGACGTTGCTCGCCCCGCCGCTCCACAAAACGGCGCAAAGGGACAACAGAAAAGTCAGTCTGTGGCAAGCAAACCTGAGGAAGACGGGGGGGGGGGGGGAGGAGGCGGGGGGGGAGAGAGAAGCAGCCGTTCCCTCCTTCCTTCCCCTCCTCCCCCGCAAAGAAGAGGAAGAAGGGCACGTAGCAGCAGCAGCAGCCCCCAAACTCAAATACGTGCACAGCCCGGCAGAGCAACGCAGAGATTGCAGACGGCGGGAACCTAGCAACCATCACCCCCAAGAGGGCGGTTGGAAGGAAAGAAGGAAGGAAGGAGCGGGTGACTTAAGATCCCCAATGAAGGAGGATCGAAGCTGCTGGAGTAGCGGAATGCAGAAATAGCAAGCACAGGAGGGCTATAAGCTACCCACGCCAGAGGGAAGGGCACAGCAGCTGGATTCTGGAGTGAGAGGACTTTCCTTCTGTGGTGGGGAAGGAGCCAAGGGTAGCTTATTCCCTGGTGGAGTGGAGGAGGGCATAGACCCCTGGGAAGAGGCTGGGGGGCATGTTGGCAGCCCGAGAAGCCGCTGCCCTCTACCAGACGGATTTTGTGCGCAATGCCAGGGCAGTGGGCGCCCTCTGGGCCGGCTGCACCCTCTGCTTTGGCATCCTCGAGGTGGTGGTGCTGATTCAGCCGGCCTGGGTGCAGACGGCACCCCTCACCTACCAGCTGCCCCCCTCGGGGGTCCTGTCTGACCCCAGTGTGAGCGCCGTGGGCTCTTTCGGCCTCTACCAAGTCTGCACCGAGCGGGACAGCACCCTCCAGTGTGAGGGGTCGCTGGTCACCCTGACGCCCATCCCATCCTTCAAGGCGGCTGCCGTCTTTGTCCTGATGGCCCTGGTGCTGGTGCTGGGCAGCGTGGCTTCCTTGGGGCTCTTCTGGGTCTGCAGTCCTGGGACCGTCTACAAGGTGTGTGCCTGGCAGCAACTTTCAGCAGGTGAGAGAAAAAAAGTGGCCCTTAGGTCAGAGAAGGTGAGGGCAAATATGCTAAGGTAGGGGTGGGTGTGAGTTAGAAAAGGAAGACTTGGGCCATCTTATTTAAAGAGGAAGAATAGAAGGAAGAAAATGTCAAGAAAGAGGAAAATCTGAAGGGGTTGTGGACAGAGATTCAAAATTTCTGGGAGATGTGGTTAAAAAAATAAAAGAAAATTTGCTTTCCTTTTTTTGCAGGTAACGATGTGCAAAAAGAGGGGCTTTTAGGACTCAAATCCCACATAAGCCATTCAGTACAATTGCCTGGAAGCAATATATTTAGCACTTCAGTGTGACCAAGAAACACGGTCTATGATGCAGCTGTGCTGGCAAAAATGGACTTGATTCCCTCTAGGTGGCAGGTGCCTAAGAGTCATACCTGGGCAGCCTCAACTATTAGGAATTAACTCTGTTTCTAGTGAAGGGTCTTGTTTCTGCCCATCACTCATGTTGGCCCTAAGTAACCTGATTATTCCGCACTCACTGTACTGAAAGTAAACACGAATGCCTCAGGGCAACCTGGGCTTCACTACAGGAGACGGAACTCCTTTTCCATGCTAGAGGAACTTGTGGTGTAAATCTCTTCATCAAGGCAGGTATTTTGCTATTATTTCGTAAAACTCAGCTTTGACCTAGGAGTTTGACCTAGAGGGGTTTCTTAATGCACATGGCTCAAGCCTTTTTTGTTTTCTTTTTTTTGCACCACTCCTGTAAACTTAAAGGATTCTTAACAATTTAATACTGAACATGTAAGTGTAAGGCCCAGAGAAGTTGGCTTAGGAGTTCCTGGTGGAGGTGAGATTTAAAAGCAGAGGTTTTTCTTCCTGCCTGCTTTCTGCCTACCATGTTCTCTAACCTAGAACAGTAAAACGCTCTTGTGCAGGTCTCATTTATTTTAATTAAGACTCTGCAGCAGATCTTCCTGGTGAACTGTGCCCCTCGTGGAGGATGGTATCAGAAGAGTGGAGAAAGATCATCATAGGCATCCTTCAGTCTCGAGAGACTAGTCTCGAGTGGAGAAAGATACTTTTTAAAAAAAATCAGCAAAATGACATGCTGAACTGCCCCTCTTGGAAGATGGTATCAGAAGAGTGGAGAAAGATACTTTTAAAAAAATCAGCAAAATGACATGCTGAACTCATCCATAAGCATGACCAGCGGTAGGATGATGCTTCAGATTGGACTTCTGCTCAGTTAAAGATTTCTTCAGCTATGTCGTTCTATTCATTCTTCTTTAAAAGTCACCTTGTGTGTTGGCACAGGTTTCCACTGTTAGGTATCAAAATGTCCTTTTGACCCTATAGAGTAGCCTAGGTGGCTTGACAGCCCCCAGACGTGTTGGCTTAAAATTCATGTCGTCCCCAACTAGCACGGCAAATCAGCATGTTACCTGGGGATGGTGGAGATAGTCTTTTAACACATCTGGAAACAGGGAAACATTGCTGTAGCACATGAATTGTATTTTCTCCTCCTTCACCAGGGCTGGAGCAAGGAGAAAGAATAATGCTAGCTGCAGATTTTGAAGACTTTGAACAGGATTAGCCAATGGAGAGCTCCTTTTGATTGTGTTTGCTCATCATGAATACTTCTGTGAAGCTGAAATAATAGTGTTGTTAGGGTTGTAGGCTCTCAGATGGTCCTGACAAAAATCCATATTTATGTGACAGGTACCCATGTATCTTTGCCATGCTCTGAGGCAGAAAGTCAGAAGTAAACTAGTATCTTGTGAGGATGGTTAGCCCTACCACTCAGCAGAGTGAAACAACTTCTTCAGGAAGATGATGCTAGAGAACAGAAGGGGCAAGCTCTTATCTGTTCTTATGGACTATTCAGCTATCCTTCTCTGCTGTAAGACAACCACTGTGTCTATTGCACAACCTGTCCTGTGCCCCTTTACACTCATATGTTGCCCAAGGAGTGGTGAATGATTGTTCTTAGTGCCAAAGTTCAAGTAAGATCCAAATGCCGGTCCAACTTTTCTATATGGACTGGACAGCGACCATCAATCTTGGTCTCAATCAACAAAATGTCTTAGGATTTGTCCCCCACCCACAAAAAAAATAAAATACAATAAATACAGGATCTTGTGGCACTTTCAAGAGAAGCAAGCTTTATTTGACAAAAATAAAGTCTTTTAAAATGCCACAAAACACTTGGTTGCAACTGACTAACATGACTACCTTCCTGGAAACATCTTGTGTTAGAGCATATAGGGGAGGGTTGCTGCTTAGGGACCAGTTTTTATTAACCCTCAGCTTCTCTCTCTGTCTCTTTCTCGTAGCAACATGCCAGGCCCTTGGCTGCCTGGTTTTCCCAGATGGCTGGGGAGCACCAGAGGTGAGAGCTCTTTGTGGGCCTCGGGCTCGAAGCTATACCCTGGGTGCATGCACAATACACTGGGCCTTTACCCTTGCCTTGTTGGGCATAGTGGATGCTGTGGTGCTTGCCACCCTTGCTTTCGTCCTGGGAAACCGTCAAGATGCTCTGCTACCAGCAGGCTATACACCGCCCACTGGAGGAAGAGGTAAGCAATTACACATTCCCCTCCTACACCGACCCAACCTCAGAATTTTGGCAATAATGGGACCTAATGAATGATGGTGTCTTCTGACCAGCTGCATTAGGAACAGGTCTGGCCACAATGTTAGTTGTTGCACAGTAATACAGGAGCCCCATGGTGCAGTGGTTAAACTGCAGTTCTGCAGCAAGACTCTGCTCATGATCTGAGTTTGAGGGAGCAGGCTCAAAGTTAACTCAGCCTTCCATCCTTCTCAGGTTGGTAAATTTGTTACTCATCTCACAGCGCGAGTGGGGGTGTGTGTCAAGAATGTGTAGCCTGCATAATTAAATTGTAAACCATGCAGTGAGTGCTTTAAGCACTATGGTGCGGTATATAAGCAGCACTTTGATGGACAATGAGACACACCTATGTGGTGAAGGAGGTTAGTAATTCCCTAAGACAGAGATGGAAGGAAAGAGCATGCTCTCCGTCGCACTTTTTAAGCTCCTCCCTCCACAAATAATAGTTTGTTCACAAAGAATACAAAGAGAGCATCTCCACCAAATTCTCCAAGTTGCAAATTAGTAAATATTGTGGTTATTGTGTATACTTCTTACTAGCCTAAAATGACTAAAAGATGTAAACATATGGCTGGGACTAAGGGTCAACAGGATTAGGGATCTGCCAGTGCTAGGACAGATAGCAAGGAATTTCTGTGACTTTGAGATTTTCATAGAATTTACCTGTTTTGCATTTCCAGGGGTGCATTGTGAGAAAAAGTGCACCTTTACTCAATGGGGAAGACCTATATCATGTGTACTGTTTTTCACATCCTCGCCCAAGCCTGTTTATAAGTTCCTTGAGCTGTTAGACTAAGTGCTGCAGTCTTGCTTCCAGCCTGACATGTAGCTTGATTTGATCTGAGAGGACATGTATGGTCTCCAGCTTCATGTAAGTTTTGTATCAGCATCCTAGACTTGCCAGTGCCACACATCATCTTCAAGCTGCTTAACACCCCAGAGTGTGATCCAGGACTGATGCCTACCCACAACCGCCTTTGAAAAATTAAAACCCGCAGGATAGGACTCTGATCAGTCCCAGACATCCAGCAATCCCTTTTTAATCTCCCAGAATGATCTATTTTTTATTTATTAAATTTATATACTGCCCCATTAGTGCAAAAGCACTACTCGGAGTGGTTTTACCATCAAGTAAAACAATAAATGCAAATAAAAAACAACAAAATAACAACACAGCAAGTGTTCTAGAATGACACTCCATCAGATCAATTGTGGGAAATTAGAATGATACCTCCTCCTGCTGTTTCATATAACTGTACTTTCTGATGTTGCTTCTGCCACCACTTGAATGTCCCAAAGTGAAAGGGAGCTTATCAGATGATACTGTGCTGATGGGCCCCACAAATATGGAGACAGTCCTGTGCACAGATGCTGCTCTTTTTTTTATTGATTGATAATTTCTGACATACAAAAACAATGAAACACTAAAAAAAGAAAAGAATAAGAAAAAGACAAACGCAGAAAGAAAAAAACCTAACTACATACAGTATGCTGCTCTAAGAAGGTCACGTGGTTGTCTAATCCAAACATAATGCTTCCAAGAGGAAGGTCCTTCGATAATTATGATCAAAAGTTTATCTAAAAGAAGCTAACTCAGAACCAGTTCCAAAAAAAGTCAGGCAAAGATGGTACTTTTCAGAATTCTTTTATCTTCAGTGGATAAAATCCTCTGTTGGGGAACAAAAAACAGGGAGAGGCTTTGGGCCTCAATATGTTTTTTTCACTTTTAATTGCCAGGACACCCCCAGTCAGCCAAAGGTTCCCCAGTTGAGCCTGGCACGTTCTGATTTATGTATAAGAAGATCCACAAGATTCTTGTCCCACAAATAGTGTGATGTCGTATCTATAAATAAGAGTTGTCTTCTGCATTAGACGCAAAGAAAACATTCTGGGGCAACTGAGGGAACTGCTTTGTCAAGAACCTTCCATTACACTTATAACCTCAAGATGCACCTTTTTTTAAGCTGTGGCCTGAATCCAGTTGATATAGTATTGATGGGATTTACCAAAATCTTTATTCACCATTTAGCAATTGATTCATTCGCCAGAATCCTACTCATATTTATGTAACTTACTGCAGCTAATTGCAGCTAATGATGAGGTCCTGAGCCACATCTTGGTCATGTGCCTGGTCATATGCCTGACTGGCACCTTGTATATTATACAAATCTTATGTGAACACCAGTAGGATTCTGCCTAGTAGGTCTACTCTAGCTAGGATGAATAACTGGATTTAAGTTTATAAATAGACATTTTCTCCTATAATAATACGGTTTTGAGTCAGTTGCAGGCAAGACCAACCATGCCATCTAGCAAGGTGAAGTAACCTGCTCAACATACAGTACAACCATGGGGGGGAGCAAGTGAGACAGGTGAAATAGAAACCAGTGTCTGAGCAGTTCATCAAGATTTATTTAAGTATTGGTCCTTGTGAGTGTTGTGGCGGCAGGAGATTTCAGCTCCATTTCAGATAGCAAGATGACTGGGCCAGCAGCGCTAGCGGGTCATAAAACACCAAGTGAAAGCCACTTTACTGTGTGATTATCCCACCCTTTCCCCTCTTCAATGTCTGCTCATAGGGGCCACGTCAGCACTGACTCCAGATTGACTCCCTGCGGATCTTCAGTGGGCTTTCTTCAGACATGGACTCTCATTTACTGAACAAGGTCATGGCTTTTCTGTTAGCTGGCCGTTGCAATAAATTTATTTTTTAATTTTAATGCTATTGTGTATGTGGTTAATAAAGTAACTCCTGTAGCTGTTTGAATAGGCTTTAATAGATCTTTTATCATTCTTCTTCATCCTTAGAATCTTCTAAGACAAGTCATAATAATTCCTGTTTTAATGTAAGGTAAAAATGAGGGAGGGAGGAAATGTATGAGTTGTCCAAAGCTACCCAGTAAAATTCATGATGGGTGTAGCCACTGGATCTTTCTTTCAGGCTCCACAGTTCAACATCTGCCTAGCAAAACACAATGGAGTCCAGCAGAGCTTTGCAATCGGAATGGGGAGGGAAGCGGGAACCTTCCATTCCAGAATTTTTTATTTGTTTCTTTTTATTAAGAACCAACGCCTGTAAACGAGAGCAACCAACCAGTATGGCATAATTTGAACAAGGTATGAAAAGGTGACACAGTTAAGTCACAGCTACATTAAAATACCTGAAGGGATTTTTAAATTTTTTTTTATTCATCAACACCAAAACTCTGGCCACAAGCATGATCAAACATGGCGACAAATCAGCAGGGGTGCATATGTACTGGTGTGTACTGAACACAAAGGGGTCTTACAAACCAGACGAAAACAAGCAAGTGGAAACTTAGGGGGAGCGGTAAAAGACAGGGTTAACATAATGGGGATATTAAGGCAGAAGGAAGATTTGGAGTGGAGAGAGACTGGGAGTTTATCTGAATCACACTGAAAAAGCAAGGGTGATAGGAAATTTAAACAGAGCATGGTAGAGCCCAGCTCTGGGTTCAGAACAGGGAGGGCTGCTCACCTTTAAAAGGTGTTCGTTCAGCTATCCTGGAGCCTTCTGACAGAAACTCCTGCTCCCTTCCCTATGACGGCAATAGAACTGGGGTGGGGACCCTAGCCCAAGGCGACTGCCCTTCCTTCCCAGTATTTTAGGGTCACAAGGCAGAACAGAGGCAAGAAAAAAACACTATGTGTTGCTTACAGTCCATTGACATTCAGAGACTGGTAGGGGGGCAGTGGTGAGAGGGCTCCCCAATTTTTTTTTCCTGTGGAGACAAATTCCTGCTATTCAGAGACATAACGGAGTCTCTGGGTCCCCCCAGTCGCACCCCTCCGCCCTCCAGCCCCTTCTCCTTCTGTCCGCTTGACTCGTTGCAGCTGGGTCTCCCCTACAGCCTCCCCACCTAGGCGCTTGACGCGTAGCAGGTTGGGGGGCTCAGGGAGGTCTCCAGCAAAGATGGCGCGCCGGAGTCGTCTGGGGGGCACTGGGAGTCGTTGGGGGTCTGAGTTGCCCACCCCTGACAGGATCCTACCAACCAGGTACCTGAAAAAAAAGAAGAAGAGAACTCAGGAGCCCATCAGTTAGCCCACTCATCATTTCAGAGAGCACACAAGCCTTTTGATGGATTCAGGAACAGACCTGGACTCCTAAACGTACCTCCCACCTCCCCTCCGAAAGCTAGAAAAAGAAAATAGAATTCTTCGTGTACAAAGAAACACCTTACTGACTATGGCAGGAGTGGCTTACCAGTTCCTGCTGGACTACAGTTCCCATCAGCCCAGGCCCGTGTAGCCAGTGGTGAGGCATGATAAGAGTTGTGCCCCAACACACTCCCCATACTGGTTATGAACCACAAAAAGCCACCTCATGTCCCCAGGACTGAAGCACTCGGGCAAGGATGTTGGGAGTGTAGGAAACTTCTGACCTCACTCTTTAAGAAATCCCGTGACTATCCCTGGATTTCTTCTCTTTTCTCACCTGTCATTTGCTCTTTCCCACCCTCCATACTCAAGGCCCTGGAGAGCAACAGATGTATAGCGTGGTGGACCTCTTGAGGTGCCCTGGAAATCTATCAGAGATTTCTCAACAATAACAGTAGACAAGCTTCCCAGCAACAGAGACTGTCCAGTCTCTCCATATGCATTTCCTGGAAAAAATATCCCGGGATCCTTTTCAGCATACTGTCCAAATGCTACGTTGAATCTTATTGAATTGGGCAATTCTTTTTCATTGTGTTTTGCATCTGAAAGGCCAGGTTATACATTCTACAGAATTAAATGGTAAATACTGTAGGCCTTTGATGACAGTGGTACCATTTCAGGTGATAGTCTGCATATGAATGAGTTTCCCATGCAAAACTAACTCCTTAAGAGAAAAAAAGCTGCATGTCAGAATGAAGACTAAGCTGGGCCCTTACCCCTGACTTTCCAGTTTTCCACACTAGAGGAGTGGCAGTTGTTTTTAAGTAGGGGAAACATCAAACAGAGAAACAATGATATTTGTAGCCTGAAGTGCACAACGCTATACTATTTAATTCTAGTGCAAACATAAACTACCTCGAAATTTCTTATTAGCCATTTCCTTTTTCAAAACTGTTATTTAGTACCACACTGTATAAGGCCTGCATTGTTTCCTTTTACTTTCTTTCAAATTAAAATAAATTAAATGGACAGCCTGAGTGTACTTGGTATTGAAGGAGTGGTCAGAACTCTGCACATGCTCATAGGTATTATTTCCTTTATTCCTTTCTACTTTATGTGGCTAAGAAACAACATTCAGAATGGTTCCTTGGGGTTTTCTCTACAGCTATCCCATTTCCAGCTACCTCAACATTTCAGGGTCCATTTCTCCGGCGGGTTCCTCTTCTCCGCCTAGCTCTTCTTGGGGTTCAAAACCTCCTTCAGGAACCCAGTATCGATTTGGCAGAGATCTGGGTGGAGAAGAGCCACCTGCTAAGCCAGTCTCGTCGTATTCCGGGTACAGTGGGGCACCCTTAGCTTCGTCCCAAAGCCTTAAAAGGTTTGCCAAATAGACAGATTCCTGGTCCCGGCGATGCCCATCCTGAAGGAGGCGCTGCAGAGCCAGTGCCAGGCGTTCATCTGGGTGGAACTGGTTGCTTGGTGGAGCCACCGCCCTGTCTAGTGCTTGTGCTAAGCGGTCGTCCTGGAGCTGGTTATTGGGGGAAGCCATAGCTCTCTCCAAGGCTTGGGCGAGGTGCTCTTCCTGCAACTGACCACCAGGGGACGACAAGGCTCTCTCCAGTGCAGCCAGCCGAACCAACTCAGGATAGTACACTTCATTAGCCAACGTCTCCACAGCTTCATAGGGTGTTCCTTGAAGCTCACGACGAACCCGCCGGGTCCCCCCAGATAAGCTGTGGGTTAGCCCTCCTCCACGAGAACTCCCTGGGGCAGAAAGAGGCTGTAGGAAACAAGGGAGATGATTGCACAGGAGTTAATTTGTTAAAAAAAAAAGCTTAGTGGTGAGATATTTTGCATAGAGGTTTGTCAGGACTGAAATGTTCAGTTAGGGTTTGTCAGTCAGTGAATCCATGCAGTTTAATATTTGAGAAATAAAATCTAGTTTTCCAAGTTCACCCAAAACATTTAAAATCAAACTGCTACAAAAATTCTTATAGAATTAAAATCTTGAAGCCTTTACAGGAAAATCCCCGCCAATTCCCACTTATTTTGGTAGAGGAAGATACATAACAAGGGCCAGCCCATCATTATAGGTGAAGTGAAACACGCACCTCAGGCAGAGAATTTGCATTTCATGAAAAGGCAGAAAAGTCTTAGTTATTTGCTTTTCGTCTTTTTTATTTTTTTGAGATGAGGACAGGTGCTTGTGTGATGTTCTGCCTCTTATGCCAAAATGACTTGGTCAGTGTGAAGGAGTGGGACCCAGTGTGCCGTCCCCAGAAGAAGAAAGCCCGAAAGACGCAAGTGGCTGTGCAGAAGGGGTGCTGGTAGAAATAGAGAGTGAGGAAGAACTACAGAGAAGGCCTACCGAAGTGTGCTTGGTGGATGAGGGCGGAGCCGAGATGGACTTGATCATGTGGGAGGAGGTGAAAGGGGAAGGAGATTTTGCGCGGGAGTTCAGTTGGCTGGGAGAGGGAGAGCTGGGCAGATGCACCACGAGAGGGGTGCAGACAGATTGGTTGAAAGATGCCAAGAGCTTAGCGGACGGGTCCCCAAGTACCCAGAGCCTACCAGAAGGAGGAGGACTGCTGCCTGAACCTCTCATAACTTGCGGTCGCGGTAGGACTTACGAACCCTTAGAATGGAGGGTTTCGGTCTTCCCAGTGGGCTACCATGGTGGGGGACGGAGGGTTATCCGCCCGGGCCCCGAGTTCCAACAGAAACCCTTGGAGGGGGATTGGGCCCGCCACCCCTGCTGTGGGACCATCTGCGCCGTCCGGAGTGCACCTTTAAGAACCCCGACGGATCGCGAGCGGTTTGGCCCGGCCCCATGGTAGATGATGAGATGGGTCAGCCTGTGGTTAGACCAAAGAAGTACGCCCTGTTAACCGATGATGTTTTGAAGGATCCGTTCGATCCCGTGGAATTAAGTGTTCATGCGAATAAAGTTGTCAGTTCTCAAGACTCGAACTCGCCTCCGCGTTTATTTCCCGCCTTTACCACCCAACCCCCCCCGGCCAAAGACGAACCTCGTCACAGTGGCGCCCAACGTGGGGCCGGGGGGACGGAAATGGCGGGAAACCAAGAGGTGGACCGGTTGCGAGAAGCGATGGAGAGACAAGCCCGACTTATAGAAAACCTGACGGAGCAGCAAATCTTGATGGCCCGGCAGATGCGCGGGAGAGGGAGTGAAGAGGAGAGGGGCGGCAGGAATCTGGCTAGCGTCAGGGGCAGCCTAGTGGCGGGACCGGCCCCAATCCGAATACAGAAGATGACCGCCACGGATGACCCTGAGGCGTACCTGCACACGTTCGAGAG